TTCCTGCTAACACTGAACGTATATTCAAGAAAAGTTATTTTGTGTTACAGTTATACATAATTATATTACACGTAATTTGGACTGCATCAGAGAAAAGATTTAATTAGCTACACTAGTTAACTTAATCACGTTACGTTATCGCAATATATGTTACAAAATATTCTTTTCTTTGGCATTTAGTGGCACTACGTGTATAAAAAGAACGTATGCAAAGCTGTCTCTGGTTATGCGTTATTCGAAATAAATGATTATACAACTAAGAAGGAAAAGGAATTGAAAGAGATGAATGATTACACAACTAAAAAGGAAAAAAAAAATTTAGACGCTGCTTCTCATTGTGATGGGTACTACTTGTTCGGTCGTATATTTCGTAAAAACATATGATCATCATAATATCCGTGATTATTATTCTCACGTAACAGTGATATATAACGACTTCTCGTTTCTGTTGATTCTATGAGCATATTTCATTCACCATAATAACAAGAACAAGTGGCAAATTCGAGAATCTATCTTTTGCGCAATTTGAATCTTTATGAACTTTGCAAGTGTGCAAGAATCGATCTTGGATGCTCGTGTATAAATTGCCGATGACGAGCAGATCTGCTCATCTCAAAAATAGAAATGATTTCGTGGATAAACGTAAGCTATATTTGATACGACCGATTGTAAAGAGAAGAATAAAAAAACAGACTATAATCCGTATTGATTTATTCCCCAATAATTCAAGAGATAATATTCTCTCTTTCTCTCTTTTTTGAGTAATTTATACAAACTTCTAAATCTGTAATAATTTATTATATCTAGAATATTGTTCGTATTTTTGTCTATCCTTTATTTAGATGCCTATCTTTATGAGTTTATAGATTTTAGTACAAAATTATCAGTTTTTTTTTTTAAATTTGATTTAATCTGATATATTGTAATATAATGCTCGCGCTCATATAAAATGTGCTTATGGAACAAGAATCAAATGGATTGCAGTATAAGCGATCGCGATTTACGATAAGTACTGTATGAACGAGGTTTGTGCAAAAGTGGAACAAATTAATAAGAAATAAGTAAAAGATAATGAGATGCCGCACATTATAAATCTGAGCAACTTTTTTTATTAGTGCTTTCTTTTTGAAATTGTGTAAAGTGAAAACTAGACAAGAGGATATAATATAAATATTATGCAGTATCATACAGACCCATACATATGGGCTACTTATAAAGAACATAATGAATATGCAAGTAATATGTGGTATAAAACTAAAATCAATATAATAGCATGAAAGGATATTTATGTAAAAAAATTCAGGCAAATTACGCTCTACTTTTTGAATTATTAACACCAGCATCGTTTATCATTTATATAACTGCATTAAGTAATAAGCTAATAATTAGTTAAACGAGTGTTTTATTGTTTTAATTAAATATTCAGTTCAAAAGAATTTTGCCCTTTAATAGAATGGGATTTATGTATGTTTTCGGAAAACATTGTGATAGTAACGATTGTTTATAGTATAGAAAGATCAATACTTACGTCAAATGCTGTTGTTTTTTCTCCAATCGATTTATCTGTAAAAGAGACATTTTAATTATGTCGTATAGTGTAACGTAAGTATAATATTTTGATAATTAACAATGTATGTACTAGATAATGTGATGCGCAGTACCAGGAAAATAAAGTGACATGAAACGCAAAGTTCTTTATAGAATAATCAAGTGCTATTTATCTCAACAGAAATCATAAATAAAGAAATATATTTGATTGTTTAATAATTATATATATAATAAATATTTTACATAAATATATAAGTATTATCAAATGATAATTTCGCGCATTGATAAAGTTAGATAGTTGGGATACTTACAAATATCGAAATTTATAC